AAAAAAGTGATATAAAGTCATGGGATAGTTTTAATATTTATTGTGACTGGGTATGTTTATATAAACCCAAGTAATAATAAAAAATATCTAACTATATGAATTATAAATTCATTGTCTCTTTTACTTACTTAGTGGAGAAGAGGAGAGACATTTCCACAGCTTAGCAAAGCTGCACACACTTATATGTGACCAAAAACTAAAAAATACAAATAAAAGAGATAAGAACATGTTTGTTTGGAAGCCAGTCACATTTTTAAAGTTAAATTTGTATTTAAATTTTAAGAATGAAATCATTTACCTGTTGAGGGTGTGTTGACAGTCTGTGTGGTTGGATCACTGAACTCCAGAAAATCAGAAATGAAGTGCTTTGTCAGTTACAGATTTGAAAAACCAAAGGGCGGGAATAAAGAACCCTAAGCTCTAACACAAAGAACCATTTCAGCATGAAAGGGTTCTTCAGAATGCTATGGTTCTAAATAAAACCATTACTGCATGTAAAGAACCTTTAAAGAACCATCTTTTTTTAGAGTGTTCTTTTCGTCATCAATGTTGAAAGGTGCTGCTTAATATTTTTTGGGAAATCATGTTAATTTTTTTCATGATTCTTTGATGAATAGAAAAATGAAAAGAACAGCATTTATTTGAAATAGAAATCTTATTTATTTTGAAACAGTCTTTACTGACACTTTTGAGCAATTGAATGTGTCCTTGTAATGGTTAATACCCACTCCTTAATTCCCCTTAACCACTCCACGGCTATCCCTCGCTGTCACTGCTCAATCCTTTCATCACTTGAAGTGTGGAAGAGATTAAAAGGCGGGTCCCTAGAGATTTCAGAAATGACTTACCAGACTGTTAAGTAAAATTCTGAAAGCCCTCATCTCACTTATTCAGTGTCCCTTCTCCCTGTGCTGACTTGGCAGAACTATTCAACAAATCAGAGTAATTCAGTTCCTTCAACACAGAACACTGAATAGATCTGCTGCCCAAAAGTTCTCCACCTCAGCACAAAGTCGGTGCTCTATCCGTTCAAAATACCCCAGCTGTGGAGGATTGTGGTGGAAGGATGAGGCACAAATTACCCTTGAGAGGATTATTTCCATGTGCTGGTTACACAGATGGAGAACGTGAAAAGGAATCTGGTGCTTCCGTGGCAGGAATGAGCATTTGTGTGAAGCTCTTAAATTGTGTGTGATGCTGTGCAGGGCTCACTATAATGCACACTTATTGTTTTAGTCTGATTGAAATAGAAAAAGTGGATGCAAATTAGACATATGCAGGGATTCGGTAATGCCGTTTATTGCAGTAATGAGCATGCACGGTATTGTTATCTATAGGGCATTTCAAAATTCTAGGTACCTTATTATCCAAATTGATACAAATTTTAAAATGCACCGTAACTTTTTTTTCCATCAACATGTAAATGCATGTATGCTGCATAACAGGATGAATGAAAATGCTAATTTACTCTCTGACAGTAGGTGAAAAGCTAAAACAATTCAGTATTTACATGTTTTATATTTTAATTCACTATGGTGTTTATCAAACACTAAATACTTAATGTTTATATTTAAACATTTGTTTATACTTGAATATTTTTTACATTTTAATCTGAACATGCCAGCCCAGAAAAAAATATCTAGATATTGGTTAAAATTATTCAAATTTTTTTTTTGTGTGTGTGTTATTTACAATTGTGTTCTTTTGCACTTTAATCGGTTTAATCCATTTATTTATTTAATACGTTTTTATTAAGATGGCAGCAATGAAGTTTATCTTTTCAACCTACATTTGTAAAGTATATACCGTGATAATGTATCACGCATGTCATGTAAATCATACATTTATTAATTATCATGTTAAAAATGTCATCAATTATTTTGATAAAATGTATATACTTTGTGTATACTGTATATAATAATATCACAACTATAAGAGGTGTTTTCTTTGCAATATTTTATATTTTTTATCTCTTCTAATTCAATTTATACTGCAAACTTACAACTTAAAAAATATAAATATATAAGCAAAATACTTTTACAATGGCGCTGTAGATTCAGCAGCGGCACAGTGCCAGAACGGTGTGTTTTAGACAACCAGTTTTCAGTGAAAATTAAGGTACAGCAGTTGTCGGTTTCCCACTTGTTCCTGGCTCTTAGCTCATCCAGCTTGTTTTCAAGTGAGCAGACATTGGCAAGCAGGATGCTTGGCACAGGGCGTTAGCTTGATCAAGACATTAGCTGAGCATGAAGCCGTACCCCATAAACTCTCCTGCACCTCAGTCGGGAGTCCAGGGAAGCTGAATGTTAATCTGTGTTGGATTTTTCCATGTCCAGTAAGTTTTGTCTATCATAAGATATCCCAAATGAGAAAGGCAAGAAGACTCAAATTACAGTCTCCATTTCCTCCTTGCCTGGTTGCTGATATAGATCTAAACTACAAAGCCTTTGTGGCCCCCTCATGTTATCCTCAAAGGGGACAGTTTTTTTGTAACAACAGGTTTAAAAGGATTGTTGAATTTGTGTTACTCAGTCACCATGTTCCTACAACATAAACTGTGTGGATGTGTTCATGGCCAGATGCTTGATGGGAGAGAAACATGAGGAGATTTTATTTTATCATAGAATCTTTCTGGGGGAGAATAACATGAGTGACTGTGTAAATATATCGATGTATCAGTTCATAAATTATTTCTTTAGGGAATCCTGTCTCTGCAGAGATGTCACAGTTGATGATCTCACATGATGAGTTCGGTGTTATTTAGACTGTGTCTGCCAACAGGCACTTCACCGATCCACAGATTTTTATCAGGCTGTGGGACTGTTCCAATGGCAGGCCTGGAGGATACTTTAGTGTAGAAGACTGACTTTTTTACAGACTAGAGTAAAGAGTGCTTTAAGATCTGGAGAATCCTTATACTTCCTGTGTAACTGTAAATTTGTGTGTGTTTGTCCCAGGTCCACAGGGCGAGAGAGGCCAGGATGGCTTACCTGGTAAAGAGGGTGAGTTGTTTCATGTCTTTTCACTGTTCAGTCCTAACTAAAATACACACTCAAACACACACATACACACTTCTGCACACTCAAATTAGAGGTCTGCTGCCCAACTTTGATTCATTCATTCAGTTTGTAATAGGGTGACCATACGTGTCATTTTCCCAGGACGCGTCCTGGCCAGGATTTCTATATTGCCTAAAATATCTAGGTTT